TTGAAATTTCAATTTTCAATTTTCGAACGAGAAATGTTTCGCTTTATTATGTTAATTTTTTTACTCTGTTCGCCATTCTTGCTTATTTACAAATACAAATAGTCCATTTCTTCTTTTGCTCTTTTCAAAATAGCCCAGAATTTGGTTTAAAAAAGTATTTTCATGCAAAAACCAGCATTTAACTTTTGTATACACTCCTTGTGATAGCAGCCATGTTGCCAAAATTCGCATTGACCAATCAAATCACGTTCTGAGTTGGATTATCCCAGGGCTTCTGAGAGCAATAAGCGCAGAAGCCCTGGGTACGAGGTTGGAAAATACGGTAAAAGTACAGTATTTTCCAATTAACTATTTTGTACCCATTCTCCGGGAATTCGCGCGCGCCATAGTATTTTCAAGAGGAGTGGAGAGTTACTTTTTGCTGAAAATATCAATAAAATCGCATTTTTCCCGTCAAAAGCATTAAAATATGTTCGGCGCAGTTAGTGTGAACAACAAGGATACTGAGTGCACGTGTGATTTCCGTTTCACAAGTAATTTGAGATGATTGAAACACCGGCTTGTACACATGTCAACACTCATCGAGTCATCGATCAAATATTTTGTCTCAAATGGCTTCTATTTCCTTCAAAATGTTCTGATTTCTTCTTAAGGTATAAGTAAGTTTAATTATTTGTTCTATAAAAATAATTTAATAACTCTCAGCTTTATTAAATAGGCTATTCTTGAGCAAGAACGTTGCTTGTTGCACACTGCCTTGGTTGCCTTTATAAATAATTCTTTAATTTGTTACAATTTATATTGTTCATGTCATCATTATTTTGTTTCAAGGTTAATTTTTGAACCTTGGGCTCTGAATTTCCATCCTAATTGTAGTCTAGTTAGAATACCACAAAATATATTGTGTACCCCCTAAAAATGCAGCAGATTTTCAGAAATTCTATAGCATCCTGTGAGCTGATCATACCCAGTATTTATTTAATACTATTATACATGCATTGTTATGAATCTATCATACCTAGGGAATTTAAAAACCATAATGCTATTCTTTATACAATGATAAAATAAAGATTCTTTTGTCAATAAGAAAGGTCTGTAGTCTGTATTGCTGTAGCAATTAAGCAAAAGCCTGTAGCAGTATACCAGTGTGTGTTTAATTTTTACTTAACTTGACTATTTTGTAGCTTTAGTTTTACATTTCTTTCAGATACACCTGGGACTGCAAATGTGATAATCTTTTTATTATAATGCCAATACCTCCAGAAGCAATGGAGAAATCAGTCTCAAGTTAAAATTATACAGTCCTGTATTCTAGATCAGTAAACAACTTGGCATGTTGCATTATAATGAAGAGTGTAATAATATAATGAAATACTCAAGAATGGAATAGTATCGTTGGAGAAGTGCATTGCTCATTAATTATGTGATAAAAAGTAGTTACTGGTTAAAGAATCAAGAATCACACCTGGTCTGACTAATAACAATGTCCTGTTTGAATAAGTGTAATATCATTTATACTTTTATGCTTGTATTGCTTGATAGGCTGATGTGTAGAATGACACATTATTGAAATCAATAAAGGTTTTTCAGAACTTGCAATTCATTTTATGGTACCAGGGGAATCATATGACATCATTAAGTTTTCCCAGGGGTCCCTATGACATCATAATTATTAAATGGGAGAAGAGGTGTTTTACAATATATTACACTTTATTGCATATTATCTGGCACTGACACAACTCTTTGTGCTTTGGAGGCCCCTTTTGAGCTAGGCTTTTGCCTGCATGGCTGCATCGATATCCCTACTTTTAGCAGTCCTGAAATTGTTAAAGATATATAAAGTTATATGATAGTTCACTAATAAACCTAAAATTTGGTTTTAGTAGTCTTATTCTGAAAAAGTTGTTTTTGTTGAGCAGTGGACTTCATACAATTGTTAATTGTTGCACACTCAGTTGTCCATTACAAGAATGAACATCTTATATTTATATATAGTACTCCCTGAAAAAAACAAGCAGAAATTCAACGTTTCAAGCGAAGGCCCTTCGTCAAGAGTTAGTAGCCAACGTTGAGGTTTTTTTCCCAGGTAGTATTACTATATAACCACTCAGCACAGCAAGACTGTCGAATAGTTGACAATAATTTATTTACCAGTTTTATTGGCACCATTGTATAAATTGTGTAGATGGTTTCATATTATTACATACTGCACATAGTACATACTGCTATTATTAAAGACCATGTAAAGTCTGTTCTGCGCATGTGTTCTGCAGGCCTACATTCCAATGGTCAGGACCCGAAGTTCGGTTCAGACTTCAGAATGTAAACAAAGGGTTTGTTTACTTTACATACTTTACATGGCCTTTAAATTAATGAAACCTTTTTGGGCTGCTATAAACACCAATGTTTCTGACAGAGTTGTACAGGCAATACTGTAAACAGAAACAATATATTGTATCATCAAACAATTCTATCAAACGAATTTGACAAGTTGCAAAAGAATCCAAATGCTGTTTAATTGTTACATTCACACCATGATGATTCATACATTTACAGTTCAAATAAAAAATCCCAAATCTTGTATAAATACAGTCCTAGCATACGTGTATGCTTGTAAGTCTTGTACGCTTGAATTTCTTTTCAATAATAACACTCCAATATAGTAGATCAAGGACATATGCCATCATTCCCATCAATACTCACTCGGGGTGAACCAAGAGTATGAATTATATTACCATAACGAAGGCTGTTATTTTGCCCAAATGAATTCAAGTATGCATAAATCAACTCCTTAATCCCTTCACCACTTTTTCGGACAAAAAGCAACAAAAAAGTCGTCAAAATAAGCAACTCTTCAGGCCAAATAAAGCAAAATATATCGTATTCACTCATATTGGCCGCGCGCGTGAACGCCACAGGGGGTATGGGTTCAATAACTTATGGATCGACCAATCAGGATCGTTTTTCAATCCCGTGTGGCCAGAGCCACTCAACAATGGCTCTGGGTACGAGATTGGAGCATGTCCGGGTCATGTCCACTGTATTAAGTTCGAGCAAAACCATTGCCCTAAAATCATAGTTTTTTTAATCAAGTTCGTTCTGTTTTCATCCAGGCTAACCATGATCGCAGATACTCCTTGCTTTTTGTTTCTGAGGATCATTCTCCAAAAAAATCGCGCAAGATCGACCAAAATATCTCTCATTTATGTCTTCATCAGCTGCGTTTTTGTCTCGCGGAGAAAATATTTTTCTTTACAGTACGCTCGCGTGGCATGCTGGTATGGATTTCTATTTGCAGTGGAAATCATGCTTTGCGCGCTTGGGCGAGATCACCTGGTAAGGGAAGCTATTTCTCGAGTGCAGTGAAGCACAAAATGCCCCTACGAAATATGATCATGGGTCATTAAATGCTTTAAACAAAGCTCTCAATAACTCTAAGAACAAGGACCTTTGTGCAGAAATAATTAACATAGCTGATGATCCCCATCCTCCTATAAATGATCCACCGACTAATCTAAATAAAAAAAAGTCAAGCAAACGAGACAAACACTATACCACCAGTATGAATATTATGTCTAAAAATGACACTCCTTGTCCCTTTCTTTTGCGGAGAGGCTGGTGCTTAAGGAAGCAAAATTGTTACTTCAAACATCCACAATATTCGCATCAGAACCAGCCATCGGACAGAGTGCCTAAACATAGAATACATTGACCCTTCCTACGACGGAAGGGTCTTTGTCTGAAGGGAAACCAGTGTGACTTCTTGCACAGCGGTTCTTCAAATACTCATCCGACTCAAGGGTTCGATTCAAATTATCTTAATCCTTTTTATCCTATATACACAAAGGACAGCGTCCCCAAATTTGATGCAATTCCACCAGAGGAGCAACAACACGCAGACTACGCAGGTTCCCCTAGGTTTCCCTATGACATCATGGCCTACTTACCCTTGGATACAACCTCTGGTGAATACTCCAATATACCCACCTCGTCTACGATGGTGAATACGATACCAACCGAATTCGAATTTACACCCATTTAACAAGTTTCAGAAATATTGCAAGTTATAGTAATATACGTAAGCGAACTAGCAGTCTATGTTCCTGTAACTAATCACGAGACCACCCAGACGGAGATTCCAAGGCATTTTAACACAATCATAACTAAAAACTCAAAAGCTGCTCACGTCCCTACTTTTTTTCTATCCAATGTAATGTCACTGGCCCCCAAAATTGACGAAGTACGGGAAGTAGTCCTACGCCACGGAAAATTCCAATTTATTAGTATAGTTGAGACCTGGTTACATAATGATGACATACATGACATCAGACAATGTAGTCTATCTTCAGGGATATAATCTCATCCGCAGAGACAGAACCAGTGGTCAACACGGGGGCGTTTCCATGTATATTGAAGACGCAATAGATTTTGAGAGGCTAGACGAAATCAGTAACGATTTGTTTGAGGTCCTATGGATCAACATGCGCATGTCTAGATTATCGAGAGGATTTAGCAATTTAGTCACTGGAACTGTTCACCACCCTCCTAGTGCAGATGCTCCATGATTAATGATTTGGAGATTAAAAACTGTTCCAACACCCCTCTTGTTAAATTCGCGGATGATTCCTCACTTTTGGTACCGATTTTGAAGAATACCCAAGATTGTAGTTCTAAAGCTATAGATGAATTTAAGGACTGGTCCGAATCAAACTCTTTACCTTTAAATGAGGGTAAATGTAAAGAAATGATTATATTAAAGAAAGGACGATCAGAAGATTGTGTATCACCAATTTATGGTTTTGAACGGCACTCTAGTCTTGAAATACTGGGGTTAACCTTTGAAATGACAAGCAGATTTGAGAAATGTGTTATGAAAAAGTTGGTGAAAGCAAATAAATGCTTGTTTGTAATTCGAAAGCTGAGGAATGAAGGATACAGTCAAGACGAATTAGATCTTCTTTTTAGGTCACTGGTTCTGTCACAACTTACCTATGGCTTATCAGTCATTGCGGCATCACCACCGGAGTTAACAACTATTCAAAACTTCTTAACTCGTTGTTATAAAAGAAGATACACATCAGAACAAATAGATATTAATATACTGTTAGAGCAGACAGATAGAAAGCTGTTTGAAAAGCTGTGTAAACAAAACAATCATCCGTTAAGAGAAATTTGTCCAAAAATTAAAGAATATACAGTTAAACTTAGAACACAAGAGGCACAGTGGCCAAACATTTCTACCGAGCGTTTTAAAAATAGTTTCATCAATAGATGTATTTTTAGATATAATTTAGCTTTGCAATTTTAATATAACCTAAAAATTTTTTAATGTTAAAAACTTGTAATATATTTTAAAAATTGTTTTGTAACACTTGATATGTAATTTATCAATTGATTAACAATAATAATAATGAATAATAATAATAATAATAATAATAATAGCAATGCTAGATTACTTATCAAGCTGCCTCTCAGCGTTGGAATCTCGTTTTTCTAATTGTGGATTTAATATCTTGGGTGACTTAAATATATATTAAATATCTCACGCTTAAAGTGTAACTATAATTTACGACAACTTATCAACTTTCCTACGCGAGGTAAGAATACTCTAGATCTCGTTTTGACAAACCTACATATGTTCTATGGCCAACCAGTAAAGTGTGCTCCCTTCGGCCTCTCTGATCATATGTCTGTAGAGCTAAAACTGAAATATCGAAGCCAACTCTAAAAGGTACACAAGTTAGTGGTGTGGAAAACAGACTTACGACCGAGGTCTGTCGGTTTGCATTTCGGAAATACTTAGAACTGTCGCATGGATATTTCTAATTGCATGGATATTCCTAATATGTTTGATAAAGTTGTTTATTGCGAGGACAAATCCTCCCTTTATAACAACTGGGTTGAATTTTATTATTCCATTGCGTCCTACTACATTTCGGTGTAACGAACCCCCTTGGATGAACCCAAAATTATCTACGCTAATTACGGAACGTCAAAAATCCCTTAACCAGGGAAACACTCACAAATTTAATACCTGAGAAACAGAGTCAACCGCGAAAGGAAAATCTGTCGCGCAGAGTATTATGAAAACAGTGTTCAACATCTCAAACAATGTAAATCATCCTCCTGGTGGAACGAAGTTAAGAAGCTTAGTGGTTCAAATTCTGCTGGTGGAAATAGTGAAGAAATGTTAGAAATCCTCAAAGCCTTAAGATCCAGTGAACATCAGTCTAAAACAGAAAAGATTGCAGTAGCGAACGAGATAAACGATGCTTTTTTTTCCCCAATGGCAGAGTTCGTAACTCTGGCTCCAGAGTTCTTCCAGAACTTAGTATCAAATTCCCAAAACGAACCCACTATTACAATTACTGCAGGGGACGTGTTTGAAAAACTCTCAAAACTCAACCCAAGGAAAGCCTACGGCTCTGATGGAATACCAACATGGGTATTAAAAGAGAACGCAGACATCCTAGAGCTTCCAGTTAAAGTGAATGTCGCGTCCGGAAATGTTGGAAAGAGGCAGATATTGTCGCTATCCCTAAGAAGAAACCCATAACTAATATCAACAACCACTTACGTCCGATATCTTTGACTCCAATTCTATCAAAATTAGCCGACGATTTTGTTGTTGAGTGACACCTAAAACCCGCAGTATTAGCTAGGATTGATTAAAGGCAATTCGGATCCATCCCGAACTGAAGTACCTGCAAGCATAGCATGCCCTAATCAGCATGCTGCACTCCTGGAACAAAACCACAGACGGCAATGGCTCTACAAACAGAGTTATGCTTTTTGATTTCCGTAAAGTTTTTGATATGATAAATCACCGCATTCTGTCGGATAAATTGACAAACTACGATATTCCCAAAACCACTCTGCACTGGATCTTGGATTTTATAACAGGTCGAAGCCAAAAAATCAAGCTAAGCGACGATTGTGTTTCCGAATGGAAAACCGTACCGGCAGGCGTCCAGCAGGGGACAAAATTAGGTCCCTGGCTTTTTCTAATTATGATTAATTAACGATCTCGACGTTGCTGGCGACGCGAGCCTTTGGAAATACGTTGATGATTCAACCATGTCTGAAATTGTCAACAAAGATCAACCTAGTGCAATGCAAGCTTATGTTAACGAATTTGCCGCGAAGTCTTGAAACGATGGTATGCATCTAAAGGAAACTAAATGTAAAGAACTTCGCATTAGCTTTTCAACTACAAATGTCGAATTCGAACCTATTATTGTCAATAACAAAGAAATTGAAGTGGTCCTGTCTGCAACACTGTTAGGCCTATCCATATCCAACGATTTTAAATGGAACACACATATTGAGAATGTACGCAAAAAGTCTCATCTCGTTTATACTTTTTGAGACAATTGAAACGAGCCAAATTACCATCAAATGACCTCCTTTTGTTTATGTCACTTGCATCCAGCCGGTTGCTGAGTACGCGTGTGAGGTGTTCCATGACTCTCTTCCTAAATATCTGTCCGATGACCTTGAGAAATTACAAAAAAGGCATGCAGAATAATTTTTCCTGGACACTCCTACGAAAATGCACTTGGCGAGCTGGGTCTCACGTCTCTGGCCGACCGAAGACAAAACCTCACAAACAAACTTTTTAAAACTATTGTTAATGATTCTCAAAATAAACTACATCACTTATTACCCACATTAAACCAATCTGAGCTATCTCTAAGAGTAAGAAGAAAGTTTTTAGTTCCTAATTTTAAGACAATTAGATGTAAAAACGATTTTATCAACTGTAATTCTAGTAAATATACAGAACATACGTAACATTTTTAATGTGTTAAGGTGGATCGATACAGTTTTCAAAAATTCAGGTGTTCAACTCTTTGAGATGTTCAAACTACGCATTTTTAGGATTTATTCAGCAGATATTGGGTTTTTTTATATTTTGATATCTCTACTTTCAAATTACATTAGTTTTAGTAACAGATAGTTCATTGCTATAACGACATACGTGTACGAAATTCGCTCCAAAATGGCCTATCGTCTCGTTTTGTTGGAAAAGAAGCATGGTGACCCCCAATTTTTTTTCTTGCATTATTTTACTTGGACGGAAAGCTAACAATTAGCAAAATATAAAAAAAATTCTGTAATGCCATTTTTTTAGAAAATGCGAAAATGTCATACTCTTCGGGAAAACTTTTTTGGCATTACAGAATTTTTTTATTTGTTTGTATAATGAAAGTTTTTAGTGGTGCAATACAGCATGCAAAATTTGAACATAGGTCATTCATTCATTTTAATCTTGTTTCTAAAAGATTCACCTTTGTTGTTCATAACTTATTATTCATTTTTATTTCTCAAGGATATATACAAAAGGTTAATTTAATTTAATTTGCAACGTTTCGGACATTTTAAATGTCCGTCTTCAGGCGACAATTGTTGTTAACGTTATATTAAAAAATGCTGACGATTTAACTATCAGTCACGTCATTTAGCGCGCGCGTCACTATGCACTTGCGTGGGCGTGTTCTTGTTTACATGTTCCTTCTTAAAATACTTATTTAACAATGGTCTCCACTGACTCCACATCACCAATTGTTCGAAATTGTTCAAAACTGTGTAGCCATTATATTGTTCTCTTAAAGACTAATTTCCTTCTCTTACTTTCCTCTGTTTTAATCCATTTTCAGTTGTTATTACTCGTGCCTTTTCCCAATCAATCCCACTCTCGCAATCAACGCTATGTCTCGCCAAACCTCCATCTTCCTTACCCATTCTTTCTTCTGCCGACTCTAGTTTTCCATTCTTTATGTCCTCTCCCGTCAACCGAACTTTACTCATATGCTCTTTCTTTCTAGTTCCAAATAAGCGCCGAGTCTCTCCCACATAAACCGCCTCATCACATTTGCAAGGAACTTCGTATACAACAGTCTTCCGTTTCTCTCCCAGTGGTTTCTGTGCCTTTGTTTTCATTTGTCTCACTTTATTCCCAGGTCTGAATGCGGTACGGAAACGATGCTTCTTAGCGACTCTCTTGAACTGCTCCGACATTCCTTGTAAATATGGTATAACCACCATTCCTCTACAACATTCCTCATCTTTAGAATCTGTCGACTCATTCGTATCCTCCTCTTTGCTTTTCATATACTGTTTCACTGTCTCTCTGTCATATCCATTAGCCACAAACACATCTTCGATGTTTTCAGTTCCTCTTCTACATATCCAGGATCGCATAATGCTCGAGCCCGATCTGCAAATCCTTTAATTATACCTTTCTTCATCGAGGAGGGATGGTTAGATCTTTCCTTGACATTTATATTTGTATGTATTTTCTTGTAGTGAACCATACACTCGATTTATTTCGTTTTTCTGTTGATTTTCTGTTTCAGATCCAAAACTGGGATAACATCATTTTCTTGCTCTTCTTTGGTAAACTCGATTATCCCTTTTTCAATGCTGTTTAGATGGTCAAGTATCACATCCGACTGATCTTTTTCTAACTTTATCTCACTATCATCAACGTACCAGAACCATTCATTCAATGGACACGGTGACGTTTCGATTGCCCGTAACTGAAATTCCTCCATGAATATCATCGCGATCTCACCCGTTGCTCCAAGCCCAATCGGTCCACTTTCCAAAACGTAATGACTCCCTTTGTACTCACAGTACGTTAGGTTAAACATGCACTTCAATAACTCCATGACCGATCCAACGCTCAGATCTGCTATATCCTTTAACTTCTTTCATTTTGTTAAACAGTTTCCGCGACAGTTTCGGCGTAAAAATTAAAATGGTCACCCGGTTTTGAGTCCGCGATTCTTGAGCAGGATTTTTGTAATATAAACTATATCGAGCCACCTTAATCATGTAAATAGATAATTAAATACTTTTATTAACTTTTTTAATCCACTGTTGTAAACTTAACGTTATTCAGGCAAAGGTTATTACCAAGGCTGCGAGTTTAAGAGCGACTGTCCGTAAAAATCGAGCAAAATTTGAATTCTGCGGCAATACACGAAAAATAGATTTCGTTCATATTTTGCTCAAATTAAGGTAATACCTAGTTATAAATGGTGTTTGGGTTAGATTTTCAATATTTGGTCGATAAACGTACAAATATCAGAAATCAAGAATTTGTCTCTAGGAGGCTATAATTAGCCGCAGACAAAGCCTCTGCCATGGTCAATTTCATCACTTCGCGACGGATTCAAAACTGCCCGCAGATAGTTTTGATGGTACAATGACTATAATTCAAGTATTAAAGAACAATTTTATCAATATGGAATGGCCCAGGAGGCTTTAGGTGGCCTGACAGACGTTGTTGAAATTGGCTATTTTTAGTCAAATTTGAGAATTGCATTTTGTCACTGGATTTGAAGGGGAAATTTACTATGTGCGATAATCGGGAATTTGTTTATATTTCATCCACGGAATGGTATAGCATGAGTACATGTTATATATAAAAACTAGCTTGGGTTATTGCCTTGGAGCCTCACGCAAGACTTTTAAAAAAGCTCATTTTGGTGATTTTCAGTGGAATGTAACACAATTAAATCATTAGGCCCATACGTCTATACCAGAGTCACGAAGCTCAAATTGTTCAAAACTTTGAATTTTGTGTTTCGATATCAATATATATATATGCTTTCTATACTTTATAAAGAATTGTTTAGAAGGATTTTCAATATATTTTAGTGATAGGCCTACTTAAACAAAAGCACAACAAATCATCATATCATTACTAGACTGTATAACGTTGCTATTTATAGCAATTCGCGTGTTGTTACTGAATGTATATTTAATATGTCTGCAGTCTGTAAGCTTTTGAAGTCTTATAATTTCTCATTTTTGTTTAATGCTTTCTCTGCATATGTAAACTATTAGAATTAAAGCTAGGTAAATACAATAAAAGTACATAAGTTGAAAGGTTAATTTACTATGTGCGATAATCGTGAATTTTTTTATATTTCGTCCACGGAATGCTAATATAGCATGGCTACATGTTGTGTATAAAAACTGGCTTGTGTTATTGCCGTGGGGCCTCACGCAAGACTTTTAAAAAAGCTTATTTTGCGGTAGTTCAGGCGACAGTCAGGTAGTCTGTTTCAGACCATGTTACGATATAAAGGACTATAAAATAATATAAAAACAAGTTGACAAAGATGAGTTAGTTCTTAGATTATTTATACAAAGCAAATCTATATACCTATGAATATATAAATAATTTTAAAATGTTTGTTAGTGGAATCTGGGAAATAAAATCAATGCCAATGTTGAGCGCTTTATAATGAAAAGCTATAGCTGTCAACTGAATAACAACTGCATAAAATTTATAGCTGTCTCACTGCTCGTATATATATATATATAAAATAGAATATGACTGTCTATAAACAACAAGCAGTGTTATTTTTAAGTTTACGTTTTATATTGATGGGGGGGGGGGGGATTTTAATCCCCCCCCAAAAAAAGTAAAACCAAAAAAGTAAACTACAATATTAAAAAAGTATAGCTAAAGCAGATCCTTTGTAAATGATGTCCTACACTGCGTGGAAATGAACGTAATCTTGATTGATTTATTCTTTAATTTTCTGTAGAGCTTTTGTTTTGCTCAAAAATACAGCTTCAATGATGAAGAATGACTCGGCTGTAACAGTTTATTCATATTCAATTTATCTCGTTTTTTTTTTAAATATTTTGACGTTGTGACGTCACCGTGAGATCGTGTCAAGAAAGTCTGATATCTTTGATGATAACTTAATAAAATTTAGTCAAACTTGGCATGTTTACACTGTAATGGGTGCACCTGCAAGTGAACAGTTCGGATTATTTATGTTTTGCCATAACAAATAATTAGTCCCCACTCTTTACTCGTTTAGCTTCTCTTCTTTTTTACAAATTCTTCCTGTAGACTTTAGTTTACTCGTTTCAATGGTTTACACAGGGCTGTAAATACTCGTTACAAGAGGGCCCCCTATACCTCTTCACAATCTGCTTTCACGTAAAAATATTTTGCCTTTTCACAAGTCACGGATTAAGAAAATCATCGATCACGTTTCACGGCTAAGTAAAATAAGCCCTTCATGCTTCACGCAAAAAGTATAGGGGGCCTGATCACGTTTCACGGCTAAGTAAAACAAGCCCTTCACGCTTCACGCAAAAAGTATAGGGGGCCCTCTTACAATTGTAACGCGTTACTGTGTACTCGTTACATTTGAAGTAATGTTAACCTCTAATTAATTACGTTTTTAGAAATGTAACGAAAAACGTAATTACAAAAGCAATTAAGGAACGTGTTCCTTTTCCAAGGAGCAAGTTGAAAATTCCTTTTCTTATTTTGTTAAAAGTGAGAAATAAAAAATACAACGTTACGACAAAAATTCAGAAAAATGGCTGAAATAATTTTCAACGAGATCGCTGCACATGACATGATAGCCTACATGAAGTACTATTTAATTTATTGCGAAAGTGGAACCACAATTTGTTCCGAGGCTCAGAGCGCCAAATATTGGCAAATAAAGTTTTAAGAGTTTACATGCTTCGATTTGCATGTAAAATTTTTAATATATTGAAATATCGTCTTGATAAATTCTTGCAAATTTCATAGTTTATGCCGTTTTTATTTACAACTACTGTTTAAGATATTATAATATATATAGTAACAATTTGCCGGTAAAGGAATTTGTAATTAATTCCTTTTTCCGCAGTATTTTTTCATTGTACTTAATTACATTTTAGAACAAGTAATTGTAATCAAGAATTTATTACATTTTAAAGCAAGTACTTGTAATTGGAATTAATTCCTTTTTCAGTGGTAATCTTGCAGCCCTGGGTTTACAATTATCGACAACACCTATGAATACTATCGTAATAAGCGGAAATTGCAAAAATTGGTTTTTATTTCGCTGGAAATGGTGGAAACGAACACCGGGGCACAGAATAGATACAGGACCAGAAGTGTCACTCCTATGTGTTTTGGCTGAAGGAAAACGTCCGAAATTTTTTTGCGTGCTATGACGCCATCCTGGAGTGCACCCGGCACTTTGTACCTATGTTTTCCTATGAGAAACTTCCGTGTGCACTCCAGGATGGCGTCATATGATGGCGTATCTTCACGTCAGCACTCGTAAAATTTCGGACAAAATATCGTCTGAGTGACACTTCTGGTCCTGTATCTATTCTGTGACCGGGGGGAAACATCTGCTCATGCCAAATTGTAAACTTTTAAAAACATTGCTATTTAATTATTTAAGGTAATTGAAACAAACAAAAAAATACATTAGCCGGGTAGTTTAGATATTAATAAAAAGTTTTCTAACATTACAGTAAAAATCTAAAAAGAAACGGAATTTAAATTAAAAATTACCGTTTAAATTAACACCAGGAGGCGTGTAACATTCTTTGAAGAACTGTCGGATACCGAACTTATGAACCTACGAACAATAATTTATATGGTTCAGTTGACGTTTTATACAATAAATTTATCGACAGTCACTTTTGGTTTATTTTCTTGCATAAACTACTTCTTGCATATATGACATATATGTATAGACTATAATTATTTCTACTTTTTAGGTTGTCACGTTCATTATTCCGCTTGCATTTTCGGGCAAAACATCGAAGTCGCTCCTTGTCGCTTCCATTTTGAGTTTTTGACAACCATTTTGAGTTTTTGACAGTTTTTATTTTGCTCATGTACATATATCTTTTTCTTATTTGTAGCATATGTAGAAGAAGGTCACCTGTGGGTGCACACAAACTGCGAGGCAGCGAGGCAATGGCAAGCCCGCGAGGCATACGAGGCATGCGACTGATGCGAGGAAGGCTGCGAGGCATTTGAGGCAATCCCGCGAGTCCTGACGGGCCTTTTTTTCTACTGCCCTTGGGCCATTGGTTTCACTTGGTTTGAATGCATTTTCAAATTACCCAGAAATTCGTTTATAAAAGCTTATCGAGTTTGTATGAACGTAGTTTTTCAATTGACAGATGAACAACGCAAAATAGTTAATATTCATAATTTTTAGTGAAGCTGGTCACTTGTTGAGCTATTGCCTAGGTTAATGTTTACTTTTTGACGTTTTGACTGGAGTGCTGTAGTTATTTAAAACTATAATGCATGTATAGACAGAACTGTTATTAAAACTGGAATGTCGTTCACATTTGTCCGTTTGTCCAGCGTCAAGTTAAGTATGTTCAATATGTTAAATTATTGTGTCTGCCTCTCACCGGCACATCTGCCTGACTCGCACTTTTTTCATGCCTCGCACTTCTACCTCGCATGCTTCGCACTTTTTTTCATGCCTCGCATCGTGCCTCGCATGCCTCGCACTATAGTAAAACTCCTCACCTGTTTGTTAGTTTCGTAACAGGATAGTCCAGAAAAATGTCTAGCGTAAAGTGTAAATATATACATGTTCCAATTTATGTACTTTTATTGTATTTACCTAGCTTTAATTCTATTAGTTTACATATGCAGAGAAAACATTAAACAAAAATGAGAAATTATAAGACTTCAAAAGCTTACAGACTGCAGACATATTAAATATACATTCAGTAACAACACGCAAATTGCAGTAAATAGCAACGTTACAGTCTAGTATAATGATATGATGATTTGTTGTGCTTTTGTTGTAAGTAGGCCTATCACTAAAATATATTGAAAATCCTTCTAAACGATTCATTATAAAGTATACAAAGCATATACATTGATATCGAAACACAAAATTCAAAGTTTTGAACAATTTGAGCTTCGTGACTCTGGTATAGACGTCAGTATGGGCCTAATGTTTTAATTGACGTGTTACATTCCACTAGTGGAAATCACCAAAATGAGCTTTTTTAAAAGTCTCGCGTGAGGCTCCAAGGCAATAACCCAAGCTAGTTTTTATATATAACATGTAATCATGCTATACCATTCCATGGATGAAATATAAACAAATTCACGATTATCGCACATAGTAAATTTCCCCTTCAAATCCAGCGACAAAACGCAATTCTCAAATTTGACTAAAAATAGCCAATTTCAACAACGTCTGTCAGGCCAGCTAAAGCCTCCTGGGCCATTCCATATTGATAAAATTGTTCTTTAATACTTGAATTATAGTCATTGTACCATCAAAACTATCTGCGGGCAGTTTTGAATCCGTCGCGAAGTGATGAAACTGACCATGGCAGCGGCTTTGTCTGCATGCGGCTAATTATAGCCTCCTAGAGACAAATTCTTGATTTCTGATATTTGTACGTTTATCGACCAAATATTGAAAATCTAACCCAAACACCATTTATAACTAGGTATTACCCAAATTTGAGCAAAATATGAAAGAAATCTATTTTTCATCTATTGCCACTGTTTGCTCGATTTTTACGGACAGTCGCTCTTAAGTATTAAATCATCTATCTATCTATCTAAAATCGTATCTCATTAGTATAGACTGTAATAATTAAACATAGTAGATTTTCAACAATGAAAAAGCTCACGAGGCATGATCATGTATTGCTCTGTGACAAACAACCATTGGACATTCCATTTAAAAAACTTGGTCGGTAGCCACTTTTGCGTGAACTGCATGAAGACATAGGTCGGTGGTATATGTCATCATTAAGGACGAAAGGTTATCTTGAAGGCCTACTTTGGGGGCCAAGGTCGCCTAATGTCGCCTAATTTTGCCCACTTTCGCCCATGTGCACCCAATTTTTTAACTTTGCCTGACAGTCTATTTGCTTAATGTCGCCTAATTTCGCCTAATGTCGCATAATCTCACACAAGCATGCCCAATTTTGCACTTTGAGTTTGTCGTCCATACTAGTCTATTCCTTATTTATTTGTTAGTTTCTTGCATGTTTTTTTCATAAATACATGTACACAAACACCAAGGGCATGTGCTGTTAGGGCACCATCTCTCACCAGTATTAATGAGGCTTGGTTATTTGGGGTTTATATGTATATGAATTACAACACATTATTCCAATGAGAATTACCTAAATTATGTTGTTAAGGCAGCCTTCTGGCCATCTTCTCCAATGTGTTTCTTTGTGAAACTCAGTCAAATTAGACAATCACGCGCCATTAAATGTTGTATATGAAATCAAACTTAGATCTTATTATCAAAGATACATTCATGATAACTGGCGAGTGCAAAAGTACAGAATACCTCTCACTAGCCTAGTGAAGGACACTAGGTATCCTAAAGGCCGAAACTGTACCGTCGGTACGCCCTGAAGCGCCCGAGAGCGTGTGAGAACGCCCGGGGATATATAAGATATAGTATAAATCAGTGCACGATCCTTTTTGAGTCTCTATGAGGCATTATATCAATGAACTTGGAATTCATCTCGGGTAAGTTGCTTTTTGGCCCTGGAATTTCTCAGAAGTAAACAAATTATCCTGGCTATGGAATTATTCAGGTGTTGGGTATTTTCAATGAGATTTCATCAGGGGTCAAAGGCAAAAATTGAAATTCTATAGGTAAATGCTGAATTATTTTTAAAGTGGTAACTGCTATTAACAGGAAACCATCATGGGACATACTTTGTTACAGTAGGAATTTTTCAGGGGTACATATAGTAAAACCTTGAACTCGATAGGGGGGTTACCACCGGTACATGTTACTGTATATGGAATAGTCCTATCTATAAATAAAGAAAGTCATCTATAGTATGTTCAAAATACGACTTTGTAGTTTGTAAAATAAAAGTACTTACTTTTCGACGAAGCTACGATGATCGACATCTCATAATTAGGTATCATCGCAAAAGATACAGAGCAATGAACGCACCACAGAAAGATCTACGGTACAGGTTGTTTATATAAAATGTGGCCAAGGCCCGCCATAACAATTATTATGCTTCCTTACACGAAGTAGTACAAGTTAGAAGCTAAACCAGACGTGCCATGGTATTGCGGGCTCAAATCCCAGCCGAACAAGAACAGGTCTCTGAGGTTTTGGATAAAAGGAATTTAATTATTTATTAGGGCCTGTTCATATGATCCCGCTTACCGGGACGTCTCGCTTACCGAGACGAATATTTCCGTGTGTTCATATGGAGTATTTCGTCCCGCTTGCCGAGATGAAATTACATTGTAGTTCTATAATTAGCGTATGCAAAACTTCTACATTTCAGTCAAGCAACACAAATACTTGGCGATTTTAGTGTTTTTCTTCGTTTATTTACAAGAAAAAGTATTGCTTCAGGTGGTTATTTAATACTTGTTTACAAAACAAACATAAAACCAAGTAAAAAGTGTTAAATTAAACCGGCAAGACTTGTTTCACTTCATCCCGGTAAGCGGGCTGGCGTGTTCATATGGAAAATTTTCATCCCGCCTACCTATGATCTCGGCAAATTCAAACGAGATCTCGGCAAGCGGGCCAGCTCGCTTTCCCATATGAACACAATGCAAAATTTTATAGGAAAATAGATAGGCGGCGAGATCATCGGTAAGCGAGACGTCCCGGTAAGCGGGATCATATGAACAGGCCCTTAGTTCAGTTAAAGTAAAGGAACTGTCATCTAATTTTAGTAAAGTAAGTCAGTATAGTTATACAAATGTATATGGATTAAACTTTTTTCTATCTGTTTGCTTTGAAAGTAAATTCTATTTTTTATTGAAACTATAAGATTTATAGTTATCACTATTTGAGATATTTGTTTGCCAGTTTGGTGGGTTAGATTTCAAGCATGGTTATGGTGGTACATGATTTACATGGTACACGTTTATGATAGCTAGCTAGCTGACAATTTATTTACCTTAAATGCCAATTCTTTCACTTCCATCACTGCATACCACAGTCCATAAACAGGTTTTAAAACTCTATAAGGTGTTTACACCAGTCAATTTAATGAGAAGTCAGAGTTCCATGATATATACTGTAAATGTACCATGCACTGCATGGGCATGTATATATGTACTACGGTATAAACTTTGAGTAAATTGTCAGGCTAGCAGTTAGATAAATGTTCCTTGCTATTTTTTGATATTTGTAATAAACTAATTGTGTTCTTTGCCACAGGAACCAATTTTTGATAACTAAATTATATTTTGATATTTACTGTTGTATTTTCTATGTACTGATGCATAATTTGTGAATTATAATATTTGACGTTATCTGGATATTACTGTTCAGTTTTGTCCAATGTCGCCTAATGTTGCCCAATGTCGCTCAATGTCGCTCAATGTCGCTCAATGTCGCCCAGCGACGCACACTACTTTTCTTTGAAAATTGCCAATGTCGCACAATGTTGCACATAATAACGGCGACCTTGGCCCCCAAAGTAGGCCTTCTTGAAAAAAGATATTGCGCGCTTTCTTCCTCCGTTACCCACATTGCAAGAGAGATCTGATTATTCAAATATAAGTTTAGCTTATTATATATCTCGACAGTTTCTTTATTGGATACATTGCACTTTATTTTCTCAGAAAACATTTTACCTGCCATTGTATATTATATTATATTATAGTTTTGTAACCATAGGGACTTTATACAAATAAAAGCCTTAATATGGTTTCTAGAAGGTTCCTAGCCCTACTACAGTAAATATATGTTCTATTGTCGTATTAAATTTGGGCGAATTAGTAATAAAAAAAAAATAATATTGTAAAAATTGACGGGTATTTGTTAAGGCAAATAGACTAGTACTTTCATGTAAAATTTAGAAAGATTTAAACTTTCCCCCCTGCGGTCTTAAATTCTTGACGAGGTCTTACTGTAATTCCCTCAAAGAAACGAAGAGTCTTTTAGAGCTCTATGGTGGCCCGGGCGTGCGATAGAAAATTTTGATATCTTTTTATTTTTTTAAATATATTTTTATTTTATTTTTTTCCAAACAAAATTTATTTTCAAACTCTGTTTTTTTTTAATTTGTAAAGTATTTTAATGCAAAATATTTTATACCCTTGGCCCAGGTGTGCCATTAAAAAAACACAAAAAAAACGTTGTGGCCCAGGCGTGCCAACGGTGCTAAGCATTGATCCACTTCCCATACTGTTTCATTACTTTCATATATAGCTCGTTACAGTAAGATGGCTGTTAATTAGGTAGCGGCGGGGAAAGCCGTGAAATGATTTGGGAGGGGTATGTTCTCACAATATTTCAGAAAGATAAAGTATCTAACCCATGACTGCTGAACATAGCATTTTGAGATCGCAGGCGCACTATATATGTACTCGTGGGCACAGAATAAAGACCTATACAGAAGTCTCACTCTAGTGTGCGACATGGCACCTTTTTTCCACTGCGCATGCGTACATGCGGCAAAATCGAGGAATGCACATTTGCCCGACGCCATCTTGAATCATTATTAGAGAGTTTACGATTCACGACGCGGCCAGCTCGACGACGCGCTTGCAAGACAAAGAAACACGTCATGCGAGACAAAAGGGATGAATAATTTGTAGATTCAAATTTTTGTCAACAACGTTGCCATTCTTGGGACACCGTCAAACGAGTAATTTTCACGGCTTCCTAGCGATATCAAAGCTCGTTGCGACATGAAAGCTGTTTTATAACGTTGACAGAATGGGAACATCAGCTAAACATCGGAGTAGTTTAGGCCAATTTAAACATTTGTAAGATTATTAAAACATGCTTTAGACAATTAAAGCAGTATAGTTAAATTCCTGTGGCTTATTTCAAGCATAATTTGACTCGACGTCGTCGAGCTGACCGCGTCGTATATCGTAAACTCCCTATTAACTGGGGTCATCTGTGGTTATCTTATGATAATAATGAATTCGTAAAATGGTTATCCATTAAAGTGCTCCTGTATCCCTTGTCTACATCCGTTGTTTATTTCTATTGTCAGCTGGGAAGTAAACACGCGATAAAATGTTTTCTTTATTAAATTGACTAGAGATATTTACTATGAAAAGATGCTGATTTTTATGGCGAATTCAATGGTGTTCTCCGATTTTCCATCTACTCTGTACACAAATTCCTATAGAAGGGTAAAGAATCGAGTTTTAGAGTATTAAAGGGCGAAAATCTCGGTTCAGTTTTTGAATGAAAAAGGAAAACTAGAGCTGTTGATACAGAATTTCATGCAGAAACGAAGGGTATTTTCGGAATTTCCATCTACCGTGCACACAACTATGTGCTCACTATACGAAAGTAAATTTGCGTGCCAGAGACTGTCGGTTAATGCATGTCAAATCACTGTGAAAAATGTCGATACGAGACATGCTGTTATTTTGTATTTTCGATCGGTTTATTTCCCTTTACATGAAATCAAAAGCTAAAATAAGTCATTATAATATGATTATTTATTATTTAAAAGCATCAAAAGTGTATTTATTGTGATTTTTGCTGCTGTAAACTAGCTTTATTTAGGCCACATAAAATAAATTCCTTGATTCTCATCACCGCCCGACTGTATTTTAAGAGACGCGTGAATTTTTTTTATATTGTATTATACAATATAAATGAACCGGCCGACAAAATATTTCAAGACAGTTAAGTTTTTTATATTTAAAATTGGGTTTTTAGTGCCACTTTAAACTGCCAATTTCAAACAAATAGAACCTCGAAAGAAATTTCATTGCATTTTAACGGAACTTCGCATTCAGTTGAACGGTTCAGTCATTGTTCGTGGAGAAATATGTTCATTTTGGTTTGTGACACTTCACTTTGGAAATCACAGAAATATTAAATGTTAGGAATTATCAGTTTTTTATTTATTGATGATAAATTATATAAATATAAAATATAAAATATAACCTCCCGGCTCTTCGACATTTTCAATGTCTAGTGATGAGAATCAAGGAATTTATTTTATGTGGTCTTACATACATAACAATTTAGTATTTAGGCATGTGCGAGCGACAATTATCCAATCAGAATCCAATATTTTCATTTTCCCGCGAATACGTTTGTTTTGATTACATCATTCATGATAGATACTATGACATCATAACTGAGACCCAGGTCATTGCTCGGAATTCAAGATGGCGTCGGGCAAATGTGCATTCCTCGATTTAGCCGCTAGTACTCTACATAAAATCCTCCATTTTTACTTGCTGGGAAGATGGCGGCCGAGATGCGCGAGGCGACATGCGCAGCGCCATTTACATCAAAGGTTCCGACTTGAGTGGCACTTCTATTCATTTCTTATTCTATGCCTCCGGCAACGCAGTGTCAGCCGTGAGGCCCTGGGACCGAGGATGGGAACGAGATTGCTACGTTCCTCGCTGGCATCCTCGTTCCCAGGGTTTCTCGGCTGCCTGCCTTGCCATGTCTTATTGAAAGATTTACATGATCCTTTAGTTTACAGATTTTGTCAATCATTAAAACATTTAATGGTGAAATAACCAGAACAAATTAATGTTTATCTTGCATGTGAAACATTACTACTTTCAATTAATAGTGTCTTCACTCCTCGCAATAAAATGCAGAGTCAGCATTTTTATTGGTCACAAGCACATTTGACAAACTACAAGATTTTTGAAGTTCCGGTTTTGGTTTTCGCCAGGGCCTTCGGCAACGCCACGCAGTGTCAGCCGTGAGGCCCTGGGACCGAGGATGCGTCTTATGGCAACGCCAATCTCGTACCCAGGGCGAGAGAGTAATAAGCGCAGAAGCCCTGGGTACGAGGTTGATGGCAACGCAGGCAGTCGAGAAGCCCTGGGAACGAGGATGCCTCGCTGGAGGAACAACCCTGGTCCAGGCTTTTCACGTGTCTCCCAGATTTTGGGAAATAACAATATTCTTACATAAGGGTGGCGGGCTAAGTTTGTTTAACCAATCTAGTTGCCGATGTCGACATCAATTCGATCAAGTTCAGACAAGTTCGATCAAGATGTCGATATCAATTCGATCAAGTTCAGATTGGGTGAACTTCGTTTCTTAGAATAACCGTTATGACGTGTTTTATAAAATTAAAAATACATGCTAACAAAAACTTTGCCCATTGTAGTCCTTTCTGTTGCTTTATTCTTATTTGTGCACTCCTTGTACCTCCATAAGGCCCAATTAGCCTTTCTCACGATGACGAATATCCGCCATTTTTGGGTGGCATCTAGCCTAATTCTCGTTAACCAATGCAGACAATTAAAACAATGTGAAAAGCAATTTTTCAAAATAAACTAACCTTTTACAAAGCAAATGTACCATAATTCGTCCAAAAAATTATAAAAAGTCGCTGTTATGTGGACTTATCTCGCAGACTTTGGCTGAAAAGCCACCCAAAAATGGCGGCGTGAGGAAGGCTAATTGTCATCTCATAAAATCTGGCAGACACGTGATAAGCCTGGACCAGGGTCTTTCCTCCAGCAAGGAACGTAGTGGAAAGAGCCTGGGTACGAGGTTGTGTCAAGTGGTCAAACACCCGAGAAGCCCCGGGACGAGGATGGTGGACAAAATGTTAAACAAAATATGGCTTTGGGAGAAACTCATTTCGCTACAACACATTGCTCTCCCTAGTCAAAACGTTCTTGTTTTAAGAAACATTTAATTAAAAACAAATTATATTTTCTTACTACAAGATTTAATTTATCATTCTTTTATTAAATTTTTTTACATCAGCTAATTTTCTAGTTCTAATAAAATTTCTTACTTTAAGAAAAAGTCCACTAGAAAAATATTTCATCATTTTCTTGAAATGAGATAGATTTTTCTAAAAACAAGAAAATGTTTTTTTTTTATTATCCCAGACATTTTCATATATTTCCCGCTATTCCATTGTCAAGAAAATAATTCTTGAAACAACTTTTTTTCTTGAAATAAGAAAACGATATTTTGCTGTGTCCAGATTTTCATGTATTAGAAAAAAGGATATACTTTTTAATCTAATTGGCGTAATATTTCTTTGTTCAGCTATTAGAGGCAAACAGTATTAGACTAGAATGCACAAGCGTTAAGAATGGAGCAAGAAAGCCAAGAAGTGCAACAGTTAGAAGGCTACCTTAACAACTATCTGATTAAGAAAAAGATTGAAAGCTACGAGAAAGAATTAAAAATTGAAAAAGAACAAGAACATCAAGCACAAGAGACAATGGCATACTACGAGCAAGCCTTGGAAATTGCAAAAGAACGAAAAGATCAAGATCAGGAGACAAGTGCATACCTTGAGTTAGGAGATGCTTCTAGATTGAACAAGAAGTTTGAAACGGCAATTAAATACTATGAGCAAGCCTTGGAAATTGCAAAAGAACGAAAAGATCAAGATCAGGAGACAAGGGCATACCTTGGGTTAGGAAATGCTTGTAGATTGAACAAGAAGTTTGAAACGGCAATTAAATACCATGAGCAAGCCTTGGAAATTGCAAAAGAACGAAAAGATCAAGATCAGGAGACAAGGGCATATCTTGGGTTAGGAGATGCTTGTAGATTGAACAACAAGTTTGAAACGGCAATTAAATGCTATGAGCAAGCCTTGGAAATTGCAAAAGAACGAAAAGATCAAGATCAGGAGGCAAGGGCATACCTTCGGTTAGGAGATGTTTATAGATTCAACAATCAGTTCGAAACGGCAATTAAATACTACGAGCAAGCTTTGGAAATTGCAAAAAAACGAAAAGATCAAGTTAGGGAAACAAAGGCATACCTTGGGTTAGGAAATGCATGTAGATTGAACAAGAAGTTCGAAACGGCAATTAAATACTGCGAGCAAGCCTTGGAAATTGCAAAAGAACGAAAAGATCAAGATCAGGAGACAAGGGCATACTTTGGGTTAGGAGATGTTTATAGTTTCAACAATCAGTTTGAAACGGCAATTAAATACTATGAGCAAGCCTTGGAAATTGCAAAAGAACGAAAAGATCAAGATCAGGAGACAAAAGCATACCTTGGGTTAGGACTCGTTTATAGATTGAACAATCAGTTTGAAACGGCAATTAAATACTACGAGCAAGCCTTGGAAATTGCAAAAGAACGAAAAGATCAAGATCAGGAGACAAAGGTATACCTTAACTTAGGGCGTGTTTATAGATTGAACAATCACCTTGAAACGGCAATTAAATACAATGAGCAAGCCTTGGAAATTGCAAAAGAACGAAAAGATCAAGATCAGGAGACAAAAGCATACCTTGGGTTAGGAGGCGTTTATGGATTGAACAATCAGATTGAAACGGCAATTAAATACTACGAGCAAGCCTTGGAAATTGCAAAAGAACGAAAAGATCAAGATCAGGAGACAAAAGCATACCTTGGGTTAGGACTCGTTTATAGATTGAACAATCAGTTTGAAACGGCAATTAAATACTACGAGCAAGCCTTGGAAATTGCAAAAGAACGAAAAGATCAAGATCAGGAGACAAAGGTATACCTTAACTTAGGACGTGTTTATAGATTGAACAATCACCTTGAAACGGCAATTAAATACAATGAGCAAGCCTTGGAAATTGCAAAAGAACGAAAAGATCAAGATCAGGAGACAA